AGGGAGGAATGAAAGAAAAAAGATACCCAAAGGGGGGGGGGGGGGGAGAGAGACGATTACAAGACAACAGTTCTAATATATTCTGAGTCACTCAGATGCACAGGCTTACTTACTTTTTGCTTACTGAACAGGCTAAAAGAAGTCAGTTGGCTTGAGATCCTTCTACGAAAACAAAAGTTTTGACTAAGAAAGGTTTGGATTAGATCGGAATTCCTCTAAAATTTGGGGGTACTTAAACCTGAATATTTGGTACGGGTCCTCCTTAATATTACAATATGTTAACATACATGGTTAACAAAAAAGATAAATTACCATTTGGAGAGAAACATTTGAGTCTCTTGCAACTTTAGAGTTACATAAAATGATACTCAAATTACAATTCTGAATAGCATCTGGGATGACAAAGATTTCAGTATACACAGAATAAGAATATTTTCCAAGAATAATCCCACGTTATTTAATATGATTTGGAAAAGTGCACTCAGAGTTCCAGTATTGTTATTAACCATTTTACATAGGCATACAAAAAAATGACTTGTTTAGATCCCAGTTACAGTGAAATTATGGTTTGGCACAGAGGCTTTCCAAACCAATAAAAATACATTTGCTAATGTAACAAACAGAATAATTAGCTTCTCAAACAAGGCACAATATAATATGACCCACACCTAAAATTAATGAGATAAATGTAATTATAATATAAACTTGGCTATCAGGTTTGATCCAGGATTCACTAGAGAAACCAAGTGTCCAGTTTAAAAAAAATTCAGCTCTCACTGTATTTAGCTGATCAGCTATTAAACCAAAATGCTTGTGCTGTTCATGCACATTTATATTTAGCACATGTAAGAGGGGCAAGCTAGGCTTTATACAACCTATGATGTGGTAATGCAACTCTAATGAAGGGCAGGTTAGACTTTCCCTTTGAAATCCTGGTTTGAAGGGTTTCACATTCTATTGTTTTAAAAGAGGGCTGTCTGAAACTTGGCACACAAATTATTAGTTTAAAGGCCAACTGGCTTGTTTAGAGAAAAATGGTTTACATCTTTTCAACAGTTGTTCAGTTATCACACTGGCCAAGACAGTTCAGATAGGTTTTTTTTAAAACATTATTATTATTCTATAGGGAAACAAATGGCTTGATTAAAAAACTATAAAAAATGTAGTTATTTCCAAAAGTAAACTAAGTCCTTTTGTTACACTGCACAAATCTTTCCTAATAGCCAAAACAAGTAATCATAGTTATTTGGAACTGTATGAACATGCACCTTGTGTATTTAGGCCTTGACTATGTGAGCAAAATCTGTAGCTGTAGTATCTGTATTTCAGGAGTTGCCAGCAATGGTGTAGTTCAGGGGTGTCCAAACTTTTTTCAAAGAGGGCCAGATTTGATGAAGTGAACATGCGTGAGGGCCGACCATTTTGCCTGACATTCTTTGAACCATTAAAATTAAATGCAAATTAACTATTTTATGCAAAGTTTATTGCAAACGGCATACTTTTCATTTCGTCACATGGATGACCAATCTAAACAGGTGTTAAATCACTCTGCCTTTCATATCTGAAGGCCAGATGAAAAAAAATCCAGGAAGCTGAAATATATGTCAGGAACATTGTAAAGTACATTACATATTATTGGTAATAAAGGTTGTCTGTCAACTTTTAAGTTCAAAAAATATGAACAGGAACATAACACCAAGTATACATGTTGTGTCCAAATATATTTATAACTGATTTAGACCAACTGACATTAACTGAGATTTTACAATGTATTCATCTCAATACATATGGATTCGTTGGGGGCCATAAAAGATAGATATTGCTAAATTACCTGTGGGGCCGTATTAAACCGGAACACGGGCCGCAATTGGCCCGCGGGCCGGACTTTGGACATGCCTGGTGTAGTTGCAATGGTGGAGCAGGATTTCTTGACAGTGGTAAAAATGCTTAAGCTCTCTGCATAATTGCTGAAACACAAGTGCTAGTTTTGCTGGCTGAAATGCAC